GTAACACTCCCATAACTGGTATTAGATTCAGTATTTTGGACGTTACATTACACTGAGAGAAAAAGTTAAGCATTATTAAATTTAGCAACAACCCGTTAAATAAGAGAACGATTTTTAGTATATTTCAAAAATAAAACACAATACACACAAAATAAAACTAATGAACTAAATTTCAACCAAAAATAAATTATTCCCATTTCATCGGACACCATCATTTGCCTTCATATTTGTTGATATGTTCGTATGTATGTTTGTACTACATAAGTTTCGTTTTTAGCGTGCAAGTTTTAATATTTATACACATGTATCTGAACACATATGTTGCACGTATGGAATATTTGTTTTTTTTTTTAACTATCCAAATTTTAAAAACCAAAAGAATGTATATAAAAATCTAGAATTGAAAAACAGTGCAATTCTATAAAATATTTTTATTATATTATTATTTAAGTTGGTTTATATAAAATTGAGCAAAGGTAATATCAAAATGTCTAATGTTTATTAATGTTAAATATTTTGTAATATTCATACAACTTTTTGTTCACAACCTAGCCGTATGATACTTTCATAATTGGAAGGTTGCTTCATTTCCTTCGCCAGCAATTTAGGCTTTGATTAAATGTACGTACATTGGGAATGCTTAAACATTTTCACTTTAATCTCATTTTGTGCTGTTATTGTTAATTAAGTTATGCAACACAAGTTCGCCATTCGAAATTATGAACAGGTGTAGGAACAAATTACCTAAGTCATATCAAAATTTATTTCTTAGTTTCGGAATGCTAAATATGTCTGTAAGCAGAAACGTTTAACCGATTGAAAACAATATGCATGTAACCATGTATCAATGACACACATGAGTAACTGAAAAAATAATCACCATACATTAAACCAAATCCCAACTTCCTAGCGATTACTAGATGACTGAAACAAACCTAAGACACATAAATAACTACACATGTATTGTTGTTTAAATTTGCATTGTCATTAACTTATTATGTTTATTACTAAGTAAACGGTGCAATTATTGAGCTACATACAGATTTATTCATTGAAAGCATTTCCTTAAGTATAGTATATATAACCAATTCACATAAAACTTTTGCTTCGCTTTGTTTTAACATAAAAGTTGGATGTACGCTTTTGTATTAATACCCACAAAGTTTTCGGAGCGAAGCCAAGCAAAATGTTGGGCAACTCTCATCTATTTATGCATTGGCAAGCAACAACCGCCAATTTTATTATAGGGAAACACTGAAAGCAAAGCGTTCATTGTGGCATACCCTTTGTTTTCGACGCCTCGTTGTTTCAGTTGAACTGTCATGCAAAGCGATGAAGGTTGTATGTGAATGGGCCTTAAGTCTTCGTCTATAACATTAACATAAAAGCTATCGCGAAATTTTGTGAATTTATCATATTGTCAAAAGATATGGATCAATAAACACTTTGGTAAGGGTGTGCATATATGGTACATAAGTGAACACAAAATCAATTTCGAGTCGCATATTCGGTTATGTTTATAATGTTAGTTTCTAGGTATATTTAGAAATATTGCAATAAATCTTTTAAAATATTAAATGCTTTCCTATTTTAGCATGCCATTAAATATTATTGTTAACTATCGAACGAAGTAATAGATATACAATTAGAAGACATGAGAAATTTAAACACTCATAGGTATAACTTCTCAAAGTTACTAGCGACGTAACAACTGAAGTACTTAATATTTCCTTCCCTTATTAAATAAAATTATTTAAATTTTAGGCTTTTAAGACAAACTGTTGCTTCTATTGGTAATAGGATTTACATATAGAACATATACTACATATAATATATAGGTACTTTGATTTTCAAAACATACCAGCATGAGTAAATGCTGTATTAAAATCAGTTTATTCGTAACCCATGAAACGTACTATTGAAAAGGTATATAGCAATCCACATAGCTAATTATTACTCTTATATTCGAATGAGTATTCTAACATTTCTTCAAAATTTAATATTTATAAAAATATAAAAGGAATGTCATATCTAGTATTGACACTACTACGATATGACTGCTGTAATTTTGTAAACACCATTTCGCTAGATAAAATATAGACGCATATCTAAAATGGTATAAGAAGTTCAATAAAACACTAGTAATACATGGAACACATAGATGGTGGCAAGCGACAAGCATTTGTCAAAATTTAAAACACACTTTTTTATGAGAACAGTTATTTAGTCAAGAACACTACTTCACGGCAGCAGGCTTGCAGTTGTTGCTGTCGCTAAATTATAACTTATAAACCCACGACAATGGGTAAATGTTGTGTTACCGCTAATATGATAAATGTAAAATTATTCAAAGCTTTAACAAGTCTAATTTCACTTTAACAACAAATGTTTAGAGATTTTGCCGATCCGCTTACCACAAAAATTATTTTTACATCTCTAGTGAGGCCTATATTAGAGTATGCTTCTGTGGTATGGAACCCTAGTTACCAAGTACATTCAGATGAGTTAGAGTCCGTTCAAAAACAATTTTTAGTTTTTGCCTTCAAATATTTGCATTGGGATTCCAGTTTAAATCTTCCCCCTTACACTAACCGTTTAAAGCTTATAAATCTCCCGACACTCGCTAGTCGTAGGGAAATGCTTGGTATAATATTTCTTGTAAAACTAATGAATCGGTCAGTCTGTGGCCCATCTCTCTTATCTGATATTAATTTTAACGTTCCCGCTCGCTCTACCAAGCAGTTTAGACCCCTTACTTTTAAAATTATCTCGAACAAATTTTGAGTTAAACGACGTTATTCCAGCACATTTGATCTAACAAACTCACTCTTCACCATTAAAAAAAATTTTTTTTTCTGCCCTTAACAAGTAACATATAAAAATTATAAACTTTTATCCAATTCTTAATTTTGGCTGTTGAAATTTTTTGTTTCTGTAGCTGAGCAGCTTAAGATCGCAGCGCTTAAAAGTATCTTGCCTTATGACTCGACTAATTCCGCTCGTTCGCGGATTGCGCCCCTCGCGTCGGTTGGGCGGGAGGAGGTAATCGTTGGGTATTATTATTATTATAAAAGCAGAAAATATCTCTGATATATCATTTAACAATTAATAATTAAAAAATATTTAAATTTCTTTCAAGTGAACAGTTTTAGTACTACAAACAACGAAGTTGTGTCCATCAACTGCTCAATATGTCCGCTGCCGTTTTCAAAATGTTCGACAAAAAAATTTTGCTGCCGTGCATTCGTGTCGTGCAGTCGTCATTGTGTTCAAAGCATAAATGTTTAAATATGAAATGTTTCATCATGCCATTCCCAAATAATTGATACTAATTATTTGACATTTTAGCTAGAGTCAATTGGTAATAAAAAATAATCATAGAAATACATAATTGACGTATTTTGGGAAATATTTTGCTTGAAGAAAAATTTTCAAAATATTATTTTCATGAGTAAAATGTGCACTCTGCCTACCAAATAGATGTAATTGTATAATATAAGCAAATGGGAAAAATTAGTGATAACAGTAAACATAAATCGATATGCGACTAACACCATATACAATATGCACAAATAATGAGAACTCATATTAAATAATCATTAAAGAAAGCGTACTATAATATTGAACTGACTCGTAAGCAAATCAAGCAAACTTAAAAAAGAAAATTATTAAACAATTGTGCACTTTCAAGAGCCTTGGATAGTGTAGGTACAATAAATATTGATCAATTTTGAAGTATGAATTTAAAGACAACGGACAAAGGAAAAGTTTTAATTTGTAACTAGTCATATTCACATTGATTTAAATAGTAGAATTTTAGTCTTAATAATAAGTATTCTAAATTAAAATATCGCTCCATGGAGACAAATCCATTCTGATTTAATTTTTTTTTTTTGTTTTTAAATTTAGTACATAAGTAACATCTTCGGAATTTAAATATTTGTATGAAATTACTTAGAAACCATTTGCTCTAAGGAACGATATTTATATTGCCATGTAAAATTAGTAAAACATATATATAATATTTAGTGTCGATAGGTTGAGACCATAGCGATTTTAGAAATCATAAGTTGTTTCCATTTTAATGCTACATTCATTTCCAATGAGATTTTTTCATTCAATCGTTGCTAAAGAGTTTAAAACATCCTTAAGATTTAAAAGCCGCTTAATAAGATTTTTAATTGCATTATACAAATACATACGTATAAATAGTGTTCATATATAAAAAAAACCCAGCAAAATTTGTGAATCTTATTATATTGATAGCGAATTGTTTTGTGTTTAAGGCAAATACAAATCCAACACCTTGCAATATTCATTTACGAAGTAGCCTATTAATTGCAAAAATAATTAAGGAAAATGTCATTAATTTTAAAGAATGAAATTGCACAAGTCTTACAAAATGTATAATATTTTATTCACAAACATATGAATGGCTCAGCTCTTAAGCCCTTTGTTAATGAATATTGCTAGCCTCTTTCAACTCTTTGAGTCGTTTGGCCTTATTTGTATTTTGTTGATATGTTAAGTTTAAAAGGGATATAAATTCACGAGCTAGTCGTAATAATTTAATAAAAATTGAAATGCCAAGAATTAATCTATTTTCAAATGCATACAAATTCATATATTACCCAGATAAACTTTACACCTCGTATGTAATTTGTATTTACGATATTCCAGTCTAATATATCCAAACTAAATTGCAGTTAAAAACAACACAATTGTCTTCTTAATTCTATGAAATCTTACTGAGTAAGTTGCCGTATATATGGAAGTATGTATGTATGTTTATAATGGATATATAGAGCGCCAGTTGTATTTAGATATGTTTAACTGGTTATATAAGTATATACCTATGTTCGTTATGGTAAATAGCTTAACGTTAAGAACTTGAGCGTATACACTATTATCAATATTTTTTCCCTTAACACGACTTAAGCTAATCTTCCATATGAAAGAAGATGCATATTAAACGGAAACAATGTGAATAACTAATTAAATGACGGTGTAATATAATGTATTTTATTGCAATCATACCATTTAGTTCTCATCATTTTATGAACACATTTTAAATGTATAAAATGTTATTGAAGGGAATATATACGTGGCACAAGCACGTTGATCTTTAGATTGGCTGATACATACCAATCTTGAACGAAAATTTTAACGACAAACGACTGTCGGATTGCTACGTTACATTAAAGTAAAAAAGCTGCCTATCTATAAAAACTGATATTTATAAGGAAAAAAGTTGATCGAAAATCAGTTCGTCCTTTAGCAGCATTTTCTGTTTTATGTCATATCTAAACCTATCTAAATTCCAGGATTATAGAACTGGTATAGACTACCGGCATTTGGTGGGCGCATAAGAGCCCGTTTAGCGGCAGTCGCAATATTACTTTCCTGCTGGAAGGCATTCTCATACGAGCGCTTCATTGAGTGGGCCATAGTTGGGCCTGCTGTCATTGTTGCGTTGGTCATGACGCCAGCCACTGGGCCTGGTGCACCTGTGCCACTCAAACCCGTTGCAGTTGCTGCATATGGAAAGGCTTGTGGCAAATAACCGATCGGAAATGGTTGAAAGGAGAATGGGCGTGGCATAATCACAAACTGAGGATGCGTTGTTGGTGTACCGGCAGTAGAAGGGCTAGGCGACGTTACATTAGACGCACCCGTAGCGGACGGGTGTTGGAATAGTAAAGGGTTCATAAAATTCGCATACAGTTGCTGCTGTTGTTGTTCCGCAGCCACAGCTGCAGCTTGCTGTCGTGCCAACAAATTTTGCTGCGCGATATATTGAGCCTGCTGTTGCGCAATAAGCACAGAGTTAGAGCCCATAGACAACTGAGAAGAATGTAAAGGGTAATTAAATGGATATGCAGCCATAGGAGATGTTTGTGCATTTGAAGCGTTCGTTGGCATTTGTAAGGTTGAAGTTTGTGCATTTCCTAGCCCACCAAGTGGAACCGCATTTTGTACAACAGTAGCAGCAGCGACAGCAGCAGCAGCATTTGTTTGTGCCGTTAAGGTTTGATGCTGAGCAGCGTTTGGTGTTGTGCCAGCTGAGGCCGTCATAAAGGGAGAAAGGCTACTTGCCGAAGCTGTCATAGCTGCCACCGTTTGTGCATTTGTTGATGGCAGCGCAACGTGCTGTTGTTGTGATAGCACAGCTACTGCTGTTGCCATCGATGGTGATGATTGCATTGCATGCGTATGCGCATGCGCATGTGTTATATGGGAACTTTGGCCATGAGTGTGAATATGGGCATTTGAATGACCGTGATTGTGGGCTTGAGCATGCGTATGGGAACTAATTGCCTGTGCGTTGGACGGCGACGGTTGAGGTAACATACCCGGTGAAAGCAGCGATGACTGTTTAGCTGCAGCTGAATGATGAGGATGCGGTGTTGCGGACATGGTGGATTGTAGACCGCCATTCAGGACCATATTCATATCATCGCCAGAGCATTGGAACACTTCAATATAGCGGTACTTTTTACCAAACATCATAAATTGGTTGTGCTTGCGTAGGGCACACAAGCGTGCGGACTCCTCTGAGTCCATTTGAATGAAAGCCTCACCACTGGGTTGACCCTATTTGAATAAGAATTAATAAAATTGTTTAGCATTGGTAAACCTTTATACAAATTTATATAACAATAAAAAAAATCAATTACTTGGGCATTGATAACCATGTGTACTCCTTGGAATATAATATGCTTTGCAAAATCATCCAAAAAATGTAAAATGTGCTCGACCAGAGCCTCATAAGGTAGGCCACGTAAACGAATACAGTTCTTTGTGGTTCCTGAAGTAATTAAGTGCTGGAAATCAACCGTAAAAAAAGTATATATATAATTACCTAAATGTTTGTACGTGATACATTTAAGGGATCATCTCAGTGTGACCTCACTGATTTTCGCAATTTTTTTTTTTTAATGTTTAAATTAACTCATCGGTCGAGTTTTATATACAAATTAAATAAATATTTGAAACCACAGGTAAAAAAGGTGTACGACGTCTACGATTGCAGCAGCAATTTTGATCAAAAACAAAAATTTCAAAAAATTAGAAAAGTCGATATCGCGTTTGGAGCTTTTTTTTTTGAAATTTGACCAAACGGCGGTTTGAACAAAAAGTATAGAATTTTACCCTTTTTTCGTAGAAAAATAAGAATATTTAAAAAACTTTCAGAGCGCAATAGCGAATAACGTTAAAAATCATTTCTCCAAATTGGAACTAGATACATATCTTCAAACCTCTTCCTTTGAGAGTGGAAACCGTTTTGAAAGACACCATTCTGAGAAAAACGCGTTTCAAGATTGAAGTTGTAGTATTCACCACTCTGTTCCCTTCTACAAGAAACGATGTAGCAAGAGTAATAATTTGAATTTCGATTTCGATATTAGAAAATGTTTATTACAGTATTCGAAAATTTCACACTGAGACAATCCCTTACCAATCGAAATTCAACATCTAGTCCTACATAAAAAAATCAGTTCAGAGAAGTTTGTACTCATCTCCTTTACTAAACTATTAATTTTTTAAATAAACCGTCTTTTAACTTTTTGTTTATTAAAAATCTTGAGTAGCTTTCATTTATAAACAGAAGGAAGTTCATTGATTCATGAAAAAAAAAATTAAATTGACGTTAAAAAATGATATAATTACCTTTCGGTCGTAAAAATTATGAAATTAGAGTAGAATTTATTAGATAAATATATTTTTAATAGGCCTGCGTACCTGAGGTAACAGCGATAGCGGCATTGATGGCAATTGGGCAATAAGTGGCTGCTGATGGTTAGCTTCGTAAGTCCTTGGGTCCATGGAACGATTTAAAACCTGCTGCACTTCTGCTGTTGTCGAGCGAAATAGTTCTATATAACGCTGACCAATTGATTCGCGATGGCGGGAAAGCGCCTTCGGCGCAKCCGACTCAATAGCAAATAGCACGAAGGCATCACCAGTCGCTCGGCCATCTGGTTTTTTGACAAAAAGCACTCCTCCTACACCATCAAGAACAGTACAGGGGTCCTCACCAGTGTTAAAAAAATCCAACTGTTAAAAAAGGTTAGGTTTTAAGTTCTACGTAAGATACTTTCACGAGAGTGATTAAGAAATTGGTCTTAAAAATGGTTATGAACAACTGCAAATTTCATAGCAGCATCTAAAACTTAAAGCCACTTGTTTAAAATGGCCTTTTTAGGTGTATATACTAACAGTCAACCGAAACCAAAACAATGGAAAAACTGTAACACAAGCATCATACATATGAACATATATGTATATTGTTTACGTACTGGGTTATAACTCCTCCTAATAGACATTAAAGTACATTTATATTGATCTCATTGAACTCATCGATATTTTAATATTTACATATTCATATCCAAACATTGTGGATATTTATTTACTATATTTTAATTTCACTTACTACTTGTTTGGCGGTGCAATCATATGGTAGGCCTCGCATGCGTATTATGACCTGTGCTCCTTTAGAGAGGAAAGCCTGCGCTTCGTTAGAAGCTCCGCCAGCAATGGCTAAGAAATCTTCACCAGTAGCTCGATAAACCTCAATGTATCGGCTGCCAATATGATGTTTGTGACGCTTTAGTGCCATGTCGCGATGCTCTTGTGATACAAAACGAATAAGAGCCTCACCGTTACGTCGACCGAGAGGCGATAGGCAAAGAGCAACACCACCCCTGCAAATAAGGAACATAAGTAAAGCTTATTACATTCTATGAATGCACATGTTCTTAATCAAACCTTTTGACCTCTTATCAGTAGGGTTAAGCACTATTTTTATTTAAATTTAATATAATAAGTAGGCTTGCATGCATAATAGTTTCCTAACTCCGCAAAATACAATAACAATATTAAACTTCGCACACACAAAAAGTCTTCATTTGAAGAAAATTCGAACTTGATATATGATATATGAATACAATATGAGGTCGACTATGCTTGAACACCGAGTTTTTAGCATGCTTTTAGTTATCTCTTTATTTTACTGATAAAAAATGTCAAATTATATAAGAGCTAATGTCTTCTAAACATACTTATTTGCATGTAAATACAAAAAAGGGACATAAAAAAAATAATTCTCACTATACTTTACAAAATATTTGAAGAGCAACAACGGGTTAATCACATATTTTATTTGGTCTACTTACTTAGCAACGTTGAGACCACGAAAAAATTTAGCTATATCCTGATCACTGCTCTGCCAAGGTAAACCTCGAGCGCGTACAATACAATTACCGTCTATGTCGTCGTCAATTGAGCTACAAGTAAAGAAAACTTAAAAATAAAACTTTGAAAGCTAAATGCACGTAAGTATTTCGAGAAAGAGCCAACTTTTTGGTACCTAAATCAGGTGACCATAATTTCTATAAAGTCGTGGCAACTGGTATGCTTGATGTAATCACATTACTCCGATTGAGTGTGCGAATGAAACAATAAACAAATTAATGAATTACTTACATCTACATATATATGCACATGCCATACATATGTATAAATATATATACAAATGGGGCTTGCAGAGGAAATAAAATACTCAAAAGTATATTTCATTAAAGCTGATCTCAGCGAAATAATTGTATAGTTATGCAAATTCGTATCATTTCAAATTAATAACATTTTCGCTGATTTTCATCAACTATTTATGGCCAGGGAGAAGCTTATGAGTATAGTATGCACAGAAAATCATGTTGAAATTTCCTTTATTTGACACTACACAACTAAATCTAAAAAGTTCATTCAGCGTGATGCTTGTAAACTATTTAACCTATTCTGTAGTCAGATTAACTGTTCACTTTTTCGTTTTCATATACACATACACACATACATATATATTCTCTCTTTTGTTGGGATAACGATCGCTGGGTTCCAAACGAATTATTTGAATAAATATTGGAATTGCGTACGCGTATGTAAATCCATATATTTGATTGTTTTTACAACGCGGAATATTGTACCACTGCGCGTTCATAAAATAAATGTACACAATATTTTCATACATTCATATCTAGTATATGTATCGATATGTTCAGACTGGTAAGGCTTAGAATGTATTAACAAACAATTTGATCAGATTAGACTATGTGATCACTTTGACTCGAATGTATGCAATGCGCAACCTTATCACTGTTGTATTGAAACTGCGACTACTTTGGAATTTTTAAAGTCTTCGATTTTAAGTTATGCAGTAAGAAGCTTGGGAATAATATTTGAGAGTTGAGTAAGAATTGAGTCATTTCTCGACAATGTGAGTTGAGCAAAACATGATAAAGGCGATTTGAGCAACATTTTTTAAAAAATCAAACTTCTTCCGGATAAAGTAAAACTCATTCGAAGCCTTTGAATTTAAAATTTGGTTTAAAGAGGTCACAAGAAGTTAATCTTTGAAAATGTACATATTTTATATGGTAAAAAGTTATACATATTTTATGTAACTATATATGTGCTGATGAAATGAAATAATAAAAAAATAATAATTCAGAGTAATAAAAAATTTAAAGTCCTATTCCTATTAGGGCTTGAGTAAAAAAATTCTAATAATTTCTTCATATGCAGATAAAATATTAACATCAAACAAGTTCATAATAGATTAAAATCATATTTAGCCATAAACTCAGTTAGTTTCAATACTAGAATTTGCTTCGAAGCAGTTTTTTGAAGATTGACTCACACATTAACTAAAACTCAGCTAGAATATGACAGCTGGGATAATTCTAATAATTTGCCTTTTATTGACCGATACAGACAATATAAAAACAATTGAAAATTGATACATTAGGTATAACGGGCTAGGGATAGTATTGAATGTGAAATTCATAATCTTAATTTCGATTTGTCGGATATTTATATAATATTAAGCTAAGCTTTCTTTTTAAAAATTAGAATTTTAAATTCAGAGTAAAAAATTGTGACCCATAACTAGGCCGATTGTGCTTTCCTAAGGCGATATAAAGTGAATATGATATACTTTTATTATTTAGTTGGGATATATGTTATTAAATCAAAAATTAGGTATTTTGCAGTGGTAAATGCATAAGTTTAATTGATATTGCACCAAATTAAAATATTTTTGCTGTGTGGGGTGATATTATTTCGGAAAAAGTTTAATATATTCCAACAAAGAGCCAATATCTCTGATGTCATTTTCCAATAAATTGGTATATTTTATTTTATATTATTTCAATTAGGGTAGGTAATTTGGCCTGTTTTCTTGACTTTTTTTCTACAATAGACAATAGAACCTTTTTCATATATCATGAGGTATATCGTGGAATGTATGAGCAAATTTTTTCGGAATTTTTTGATGAATCTGTCGGAGAAATGGCTGGAAGAATGAGATGCGTTTTTTCACTGGCAGATTTCTTATGTTTGGATCATCTGAAACACAAAACCCTAATTTATTCTTAAAAAGTACGTGAATGGTATCGTCCTTACTACAATCATGAAAAAATTTTGATAAATAAAAAAAGTAATTAACGTTTTTTTTTTTAATTTTTCACTATATGTTTTAAGATACTTAAATTTTGTCATAACATTGTCAATAAATTCTAAAAATTATGAATCTAGCAGTAACGATAGCCACGCGTTTTGTGAAAAAATAAGCAAATCGGTTGATTAGTTCGACCGGAATCATGTTTGCCAGTTTAAAAAAAAGTGTGTTTAAGAAAAACGCGTTTTAAGTTTGAGATACTACACTCCGAGGTCTCCGAACGTCGAGCGATGTTATTATTTTTGAGCCTTTTTCGAAACCTTCCAATGGTAAAGTGGGTTTCTACATTGATTCTAAGGGTATAAGGGAACAGAAAATGCAAAAAAAAAGTAACCTGACCTCTTAAGTCAGTTACTCGAAAAGGATAATTAAAGACACATATGTACAATTATAAATATTCTTACCAAATTCCAGGTTCCAGAACTAGGGTCACTATTTCATTTGCTTTAAATTTGTGTCCTACAAAACATACCAAATTATATAAACCAGTGGCAGAAAATAATAAGCATACCTCCTTTTAACATTACTTGTATCACCGAGACCATTTCACGAGATTCATTAACATAGAACTCCTGTTCTTCAATATTAGTAATATTTAGGTCTAATAAAATAAAATGTTGACTTTAACAGCTTTCGGTTTTTATATATAATGTCAAACCTTTCATCATCTCTCCAATACTCTGAGGTGCCGCAGCTGTTGGTATTTGGAGTATTTTTTTTATGTCTTTGACGGGAACCAAAGCGCGTGATAGGTCACCTGACTTGTACTTGAGGAATTCTTTGCGCAGATCACAGAAACGGTTGTAATAGTTCGGAAGCTGAATGTTTTTGGCACAGGCCTCCCGATGAAGACACTGACGTAAGGGAAGTTGCCCGTCAGTAATCAAATTGATACTATCGATATTATCGCCGTATAATGTCAAAGAGCGTAAATATACGTCGAACTGTTGGATAAAAAATAGTTTAGTGAATAGTATATCTTAAATATTGATTTTATTTTTAAAATGTCATTAATATGTATACTTATACATATGCGTATGCATTTTTTTTTTTTATGTTTGCTTATTCAAAGTATACATTTGTATACTTTGAATGTATACTTTATACATAGACAATAATCCTCAGCTATACAAATGTAACTCATAAAAATAGGAGCATAAAAGTATCTCTTTTTTGAATATGTTTAATTTTATATATAACAAGAAAAAACTTTAACTTCGGTTGCACCGAAGCTAAATACCCTTCACATGTGCATTTTTGTTAATAACTATTTTGGAATTTTTGCATGGAAGCTATATGCTATAGTAATGCGTTTGGAACAATTTTTTTGGAAATTATATTGTTACCTTAAAATGAATATACCACGTCAAATGCGAAAGTTTTCCATACAAGCCCTTGATTCCGATCGTTCGGTTTGTATGGTAGCTATATGCTACAGTGAGCCGATCTGAACAATTTCTTCGGATATTACATTATTTCTATAAATAATAACTCATACCAAATTTCGTGAATATATCTTATTATTTGAAAGTTTTCCATATAAGAACTTGATTCCGATTGTTCAGTTTGTATGTCAGCTATATGCTATAGTTAACCGATCTAAGCAATTTCTTCGGATATTACATTGTTGCCTTAAAAAATAATCTATACCACATGTCGTGAATATATCTTGTCAAATGTGAAAGTTTCCCATTAAAGAACTTAATTCCGATCGTTCATTTTGTATGGCAGCAATATGTTATAGTGGTCCGATATCGGCAGATCCGACAAATGTGCAGCTTCTTGAAGAGAAAATGACGTTTGCAAAATTTCAAAACGATATCTTAAAAACTGAGGGACTAGTTCAGACGGACAGACAGATAAACAGACGGACATGGCTAAATCGACTCAGCTCGACACACTGATCATTTATATAGTATATATACTTTATAGGGTATCCGACCCTTCCTTCTGGGTTTTACAAACTTCGTGATAAACTTATATATATATATCCCTGTTCAGGGTAAAAAAATAAGTTACTTTTTTGTCTGTTCGCTATAACTGACTAAACCGTTACAAGAATTAAAAATGGCCTGAACTACTTTGAAGGAAATCCAATGAGAATGGGTTGTAAAAATGATCAGAAAATGTTCATTTTTAATCGACTTACGAGCATCAGTTTCGAAAAAGACACTTTTCAATACAACATTTCTTTTTTTCAATTTTTAATTTTTTTATTTTCCCTTTGATTTATTTGTATATTATCTTTATTTTATTAAATACCAGTATGTGTGGAATTATGAATGGCCTACAATACGAAATTATTGAATCGGGCTCAATCAGCAAGATCGTCACGATGTCAAGCACGACTCTTCAAACAACAACTATGATGTTTGATAGCCTCTATCTTGAAGCAACGTACATATGTACAAGGTCATTCCAAAGTTAACAGGACTTAAAAAAACAGCGCAAATAGTTTTTTCGGCAAAATCAATTTCCTTTATTCAAACTAGTCTCCTTCTTTTTCAATACAGCTTTTTGTACGGTCCAAAAGCATGCCGAACGAGTGTTTTGGCTCGTTGGCCGCCAGTATGCCGGTGCAAGCCTTTTGAATGGCCTCTACGTTTTCCTTTCATGGGTAAATGCATTTTCCCGAAAAGGGAGAAGTCGCACAGTGACATATCAGGTGAATACGGGGACAAGTTAATTAAATAAATTCAAATTTCATTTTTGGTCAAATAATCGTCCTTCAAATCTTTGATTCTGAACAATTTTTGGTCGTCAGTCAATTTGTGCGGAACAAACCGTGCACACACCTTTCGTAAGCCCAAGTGTTCGGTCGAAATGCGATAAATCGGTATTTTGAAGATGTTCAATTCCATTTCTATGAATTTCAGGGATGCTTTCGGCTGATTTTTGATGAAATCACGCACAGTTTCGATTAAATTTCCGGTGATCACGGATTTTGATGGGCCCACATGTTGATCGTCATTTATGTTTTCACGACCACTTTGAAAACGTTGAAACCACTCGTTCACTCTGCTACAGGTTAGGCAATCTTCGCCATAAATTAGTTTCTGTAGAAGTTTTACCAATTTTAAAACAAAATTTAATGTTGGCTCTTTGTTTGAAGCTCATTTTCGCACCGATAACACAAACATACTGACACTTAAACCGCAATAACTTCACCTCCAAAATCGATAAAGATAGCAAATTCTAACGCATCAGTCGACATATAGATGGCGCCACCAGGGGGCGCTAGATTCAAAAAGTTCTGTTCACTTTGGAAAAATGTATTCTGTTGAGGGACAAAAAAGTTATTTGCTGCACGCATACATTCTTCTTAGGATGTTGAATGGTGCTTAGTTGGATCAAATTGGTGAAATTATTTCAGCGGAAATTCAAGTAAGTTACCAAGAACGTCATCAAATGTGTCGATGCATGAACTGCAATGAAGCATTTTTTGAGATATTTACTTTTGCAATTCATGAACGTTTTCCGACTGGTGTGCATCTCGCAGTTAATTTTCAGAAGTCCAAGCAGTAGATGGATATCCAGGTGTGTTTTCAATGCATTAGGACCAATTTATACAATCCACCCGAAAAAGACGAATGTTTCTAACTTCGGTGGCTATGTGAATTTTACGATTTGTGCAACTTTTTGAGAAGCATGCTAGCAATTACAATTACTGGAACATAATAATCACTCGAATCAAGCGATGGACGATGCGAAAGCTACTTCGCATGACACTTAAGTTCGCACACTTTTCACTATGATAATTTCGACATATGTATCTGCCTTCAAATCCACGTCAATTATGGGATACGAAAAAAAATGACATTGTCGAAGACATTTTATATCGCATTCGCTAAGAATTGGAAATGGGTAAATTCCGGTTGCTACTTCCAGTGGTTTCATATCACTTCAACTTGCCTTTTGTCAATTCACTTCAACGAAAGATGAACTCATCACGAATGTTGATCCGAACATTGGCCAAATTATCGAAACTGCAATTGACTGAGTGTGATTTTAGCAGCCAAAAATACCAATGTTAACGACTTAAACTGGATGATTCAAAGTCAAATTCCGGGAGGTTTACGCTCATACAAATCGATCGATCCGTCGTCTTGACAATGAATACGAAGCCGTGAATTATCCTGTGGAATTTCTAAATTCTTTGGAGAGGCTTGGTATACCGCCGCATCACTTGCGTGTCAAAGTTGAATCTGTTTATGTTTCCCAATCTTAATGCGCCGAAACTCAGTTCAAACCTATTCAGTTTCCAGGGGAAATTTCATTTGAGATGACAATTAACACGGCACAAGGATAGTCGCTAGAAGTGTATGGCTTTAATGTAGAAATGCCATGTTTTTCACACGGTCAGCTATAGGTGGCGAGTTCACAAGTTGGAAAACCATCTTCTCTATACATTTACGCACCGAAACAAGCTGCGCTACATTGAAAAAAAAAAATGTAGGAATATCGGAAGTAAATGATTTTCAACACAATATAAACTAAACTTTCACTTCTTCATTTCCAAACAAATAATTTCAAGCAGGGCAACGTCTGCGGGGTCAGCTAGTCTAATCTAAGAATCTGATAACATTTTTTTGAGTATCACTCTTAGATACCAAATAAGTTGCACAAGACTTTAAGAACCGTAGTAACAAAGGTCTGTTAAGCAGATTGTTTTTTTTTTTTTTTTTTGTTTTTTTGCTTTTTTATGAATTTATTCTAATAAATAAATAGGAAATTGTACTTATATATCCATTACATCTAATATATCGGTTAAACTATATTTGAATCAGATATAAACTAATTTTCTTCGCCCTTATGAATTCACATGTTATACTTATTGTTTGTGCCATAACTAAATATTAAATTAAGATAAAAAGATGTTATTTGGTGCAGGAAATTCCAGCAGTAAGGGCCACTTGTGGGTTAAAAAATTTTTAAAAGTCGTCGTGTTCTCAACCTTTAAATGGTTAAATATTCAAAATCTCGATAAAGCTCACTTAATTTAACTTACAAGACGTCCTTTTAGCACCTTATTTACTCAGAAATTCATACCACACAGTGTGAGCGAAATCGGATGATAACCACGTTTCTTTCTGTGGATGGATGAAATCAATGCAATATTACTCTAATCCCCCAAGTCTCCATATATATACCTAATACTGGGATTTTCAAATATCCGCTTGATATTATAGATTATATATTATATTTGTCAATTAGTGTATATTCTATCGGCGTTTTGGTTGCTCAATAAAATTAAGTGGATAATTTTCTTCATATGGAGATTATTAGATGTGGCTCCTCTTAGTGAGTTTATGACATATACTATTTATCTCATTTGAATTATTTTGCTTAATTTTAATATAAATATTACGTGCAAGCAAAATGTGAGAAGTAACTAAGTGAATCTATGACTAATAGTACAAGTTAAAAAAAATACCAAATTTGATAGTAAACCATTCGGTATTTGAAGAAACCGCATAATTAATTTTTATACTCTTGCTACATGCTGCTTCAGAGTACAATAGTTTTGTTCATATAAAGGTAGTTTGTATCACCTAAAACTAATCGAGATAGATGTGGAGTTATATATAAAAACTATATAAATTTCCATAACCCAAAATAAGTTACAAAACTGTAATTTGGTGCAATGAATGACACTGCAATGAATGCTTTCGAACTTCTGGTTTTCTTTATTCCGCATATGATTAGTTCTGCTTTCTCCAGACTGCATAAGGAAACAAAGGAAATGAGACAAAGGAAATGTGCAACAAGAATATCTGTTGTTAACAAACAAACAGTCGTCGCACTCGCGACCCACGTCACTGTTGACAGTCATAATTTCGAAGTCGTAGAGAATTTCGTCTGTCTTAGAATCCTGTGCAGAAAAGCTCTTGCTAACAGGTGCAACTTCAGACTGAATAGGCAATTGGGAAGTAAAGTCACCTCTCGACGAACAAAAATAAAACTCAATAAGTCCCTCATTATTCCCGTCCTGCTATATGGAGCTGAGGCATAGACGATGACAACATCTCATGATCCGGCTTTACGAGTTTTCTAGAGAAAGGTTTTGCGGAAGATTTATGCACCTTTGCGTATTGACAACAGCGAATACCGCAGCCGATTACACGAAGAACGCCTATCGCGCTGTAGTAAAATTGGCTATAACCACGTAAACCGTACCTACGTCAATAAAGAAGAAGAATTAAAAGAGTATATCGACCAATATGTGAGTTATCTTAATGAAAATGAGGGAGAGTGTTTTCTAAAAACATTACATCTTTAGGCCTTAAATGGATAAAATCCGGTAAAACTTGTTCCAACTCTTACTAATATCAGGGTTACGTACACTGACTTTACTCCATAAATTGCGCAACTATATTTAATATATATGATTTTTAGTTAGCCCTAACTATAACCCAAAATATAAGATTTCACCAAAAATAGAGCGGTGCCACGTCTATCGTTCAAGTGTCTTACCGGCTCCCATCAAGCTTCCTTATACCATTTCGATGGTAAAATTTAATGTCTCTGGCGTATTTGGTTATTAATTTATCGCTCTTTAGTAGTTTTTAACAGTACCGTCAATTTTTATACTGTCGATAGAAGTTTTTATAAGAGTTGAACTCAGCAAGTTTGGTTGTTGTAGCTTAAGTGGTTTAGGAGATATATACATGAAACTTGTTAGAGGGCAGAGCCACGCGCACTTTTTCAAAAAAAGGTGACCCTTGCTACTGCTGTCCTCTGTACCAAATTACAGCTTTATGTCTTTATTTAGTGCTTAGTTATGGCACTTTATATGTTTTCGGTTAGTGGCGATTTGTGGGCGTGACAGTGGTCTGATTACGCCTTCTACGAGCTCGTATTTTTTTATTCTAAGAAACCGACATACCAAGCTTCATCAAGATATCTCAATTTTTACTCAAGTTACAGGTTACAGCTTGCACGGACGGGCGGATAGACAGTCACCCGGATTTCAATTTTTCTCCTCACCCTGATCATTTATATATACATAATATTTATGTGATACGTACAGCCGTTAGGTGAACAAAGTTATTATACACTGTAACAACTTCTTGCACCGAAGACGATGAAGACAGTGGACGCCCAAAAGTCCACAAAATAATGTTGGATGACCGTAAAGTGAAGTTGTTCAAAAAATCAGGCACTCTAAATCTCTGTGCGAAATGGGTGTCTGCGAGCTCACTTGTGACCAAAAACAACGATGATATGAAATATGTGTTTTATAGTATTTTGGTACGAGTGAAACTCGGTGGCGCGTTATTATGTTAATAGTATGTGGTGTTGGGAATAACGGATAAAATCAGGTCATTACTACACCTACTTGTATATCTATCATATGCTCAATAAACGATTTTCTAATAAAACACATATGATAAAGAAGTAGGAGGGAGTCGAAAGAAGTAGCATGTGCACAATTTATTAACCTTGTCAATCCATTGAATTAGTTGAGTATTAACTTACCTCGTCTATTGCCTCCTGGAGGGGCTTTCCTTGAGAGTGAGCAACTGCTAAAGGAAGCTCAATTGTCTCTGAGAATGAGGCTGTATTAACTGTTGTTGTAATCGAATCTGCCGGTACAATACTGCTACTAGATCCATTTATGATCGTGTTATTATTGCTACTATGAATTACAGTTGTACTTGGATTGTTGTATGCACTTTTCAAAAGAGTGTTTGAGTTACTAACGCTAGTGTTGTTATTGTTAATGGCATCGTCTTTCTGGGATCCAAGAGCTGGCGATGATGCTCGTACGACTACTGAAGCTTCTGATGAGCCGGACACTGTACGATCCTTAGCAAAGCTACCGTCAGGTCGCACCAATAGCTGCTTTGTTCCAATAATCTAAAAATAAAAAAGTTTAACAATTTATCTAGCTCGAACGTATGTAGATAATTATTTATTCTATATCTATATATGTATAATCATTATATGTTACAAAATAATCGAATTCTTGAACTTACTTTACATAGCACATTTAGGATCAAGAGGACTTGCACATATGTATGAAGGTGTCTATGAAGATATGTTTACGTATAATATATGCATGCTTGCTATACAGTTGTTTCACTTAGAAATATTCCTCATAAAATATTTATGAGCTTTGGGATGGCATGCAAATTTCTAAATGTAAGACCGCTTCCAATGCCTTCAATTGCATTCGATCTTAATACGTTTATATGTACATATTTAACTATGTACATATGCATATTTACTTATATTATACAATATATATAAAGTCGTACATAAAAGCGTTGGCTGCTGAGCGATCTATGATGGCAAGGAAAATATTAGCTGGCACCTAATTGAGCAGTGAATCGAATGAACACCAACTTAATCAAATATTAAGCGCTTATAACACTTTATTTAGGTATCCCCTTATGATACTTCTAGGATTGAATTCAACTAAGGAAGACCATTCTGCTAGCTTCCTTTGCTTTGCACTATATGTCTCTATACGTCAATAACTAATTGGTTTATCGAAGCTCAATATATTATAAATTCTGACCTTAACATGTTCGAAATGCCAAGTGAGAGACAGTCAATTATTTTACAACCCTTTGGCTCTTGCAAACAGCGAGAGTATCGTATACGGCCAAAGTTATCCATTTCATACTTGTACATTTATATAATATAAAAGCGAGGATGGAGTCATGTGTAGAAGTTCACGCAAGTGAGGAAAGTTCTCTGATCGCCATTCATTTGGGAGTGCCCAGAAACGATTCTTTTACATATGACTCAAGCAGCTCACGACTTCCAGTCCTTGACCAAGTATCCTCTGGGTAGCCTAAGACCATCCGTTTGAAGGCGAGCTAAAGGGAAAAGGCGAAACATTCCCTGCATAGGGTTGTGCGCTGGGTTTGGGACCCGCCACGTAAAAAAAACAACCCCAATGAAAACGCAACAACAGCCTCGGATGAGAGACCCCACTTTTGATGACGACCATACAAACGAATTAAGGACTACGAATTGAGGGCAGGCACCCGGAATGTCCGGTCCCTTAATTTTGAAGGTGCCGCTACCCAGCTGGTTTATGTTCTCGTAAAAGTAAAGGCTCACATCACCGCCCTTCAAGAAATGAGATGGACGGGACAAAGACAGAGACGAGTAGGTCCTTGTGGCATTTACTACAGTGGTCATATAAAGGAGCGCAAGTTTGGTGTGGGATTCGTGGTGGGAGAGAGACTCCGACGCCGAGTATTATCATTCACTCCGGTGAATGAACGTCTAGCCACAATCCGCATCAAAGCGAGGTTCTTCAACATATCGCTGATTTACGCCCACATCCCAATGGAAGAGAAGGACGATGTGACCAAAGATGCCGTTTATGAGTGCTTGGAATGCACTTATGAGAGCTGCCCCCGCCACGATGTCAAAATCGTGCTTGGTGACTTTAACGCCAGGGTGGGCAAATAAGGTATCTTTGGTACCACGGTCGGTAAATTCATCCTCGAGGAAACATCCCCAAATGGGTTGAGGCTGATCGACTTCGCCGGGGCCCGAAATATGGTTATCTGTAATACTAGATTCCAGCATAAGAAGATACATCAAGCTACCTGGCTGTCTCCGGATCGAAAAACCACCAACCAGATCGATCATGTTGTGATAGACAGAAGACACGTCTCCAGTGTTTTAGATGTGCGTGCACTGCGAGGTCCTAACATCGACTCGGACCACTATCTTGTTGCAGCG